GAATAATAAGCCATAAGAGATCAACAGGGCAGTTCTTTTCAAAAAGCAAAACTCTGAAGGCAGGAAGGGACAATGAAAGATGCATGGAAATGAAGAACCCAGGGAGGCAGTGGGAAGATTGAGGCAGTGGGAAGAGTGACATCAAAGAAATCCAACCAAAAGAAAAAAAAGGGGGGGAAAGTCAAAGAAAAAGAATAACATTAAAGGAATGATAACTAATATGAAAAAATATTCTTAACTAGTTGGATGAAAAACTAGCATGCTCTGTAATCTATGACCAAAACCTCGTTTTTTTATGTAAAAAAAGGCAATTCATGGCAATGTGTTTGTTGATAGAATACTGGTGTTGATGAATACCTTCACAAAACCTAAGCCAAAATGGGAAAAAGACCCACATCAGCATCGTCATCATTGGACATGTAGATGCAGGCAACTCCACTACTGCTGGCCACCCAATTCACAAATGTGGTGGGACTGACAAAAAAACCATTGAGAAAATTGAGAAGGAATTTGCAGAGTTGGAAAAGAGCTCCTTCAAAACCCCTGGCTCTTGGAAAAATGGAAAGTTGAACACAAGTGTGGCATCAATTTTCGTATCACCGTGTGGAAATTTGAGACCATTAATTGCTATGTGACCATCATTGATGCCCCGGGACACAGAGACTTTATAAAAAATGTGATCACAGGAACATCACAAGCTGATTATGCTGCTTTGATTGTTGTTGCTGGTGTTGGTGAATGAGGCTGGGAAGGGTGTCTGCCAAGGATGTATTCTGTCTCCATTGTTGTTGTTGTTATGTGCCATCGAGTTCATAGCGACCCTATGTACAACAGCCCTAAACCCTGCTCTATTCTGTGCCAATCTCATTGCCTCTGACACACCCATCCCAGAGTACCCCAGTCACTGAGTCAATCCATCTCATAGAAGGTCTTCCCCTCCTGCGCTGTCCCTCCACTCTACCCAGCATGATGTCCCTCTCTAAAGGCCTGTCCCTCCTTACAACGTGTCCAAAGTATGTCAGACGAAGCCCCAGAATCCTTGCCTCCAAGGAGCAGCCTGGTTTAACCCTCTCTAGGATGAATCTATTTGTTTTCTTGGCAGTCCATGGTACATTCAATACTCTTCTCCAGCACCACAGCTCAAAGGCATCAATTCTCCTTCTATCCTCCCTAGTCGTTGTCCAACTCTCTGATGCTTAACAAGTGATTGCAAAGACCATGGCCTGTATCAGGCGGACCTTAGTCTCCAGAGACACACCGTTGCTCTTGAGTACTTTAGAGAGGTCCCTAACCACAGACTTTCCCATCGCAATATTTTTTTTTATTTCCTGGATACTGGTGCCAAGAGTGTTGACCGTGGAGCCGAGCAAACTGAAGCTGTGAACAATCTCAATCTCTTCACCATCCATCCTGATGCTACCGATTGGTCCAGTGGTGAGAATTTTTGTCTTCTTGACATTGAGCCTCAGTCCATATTGAAGGCTATGTATGAAGTACTATGTATCTGTCTCCATACTTTTTCAATATGTATGCAGAACAGATCATCCGGGATGCTGGGCTGTACACGGAAGAATGTGGCGTCAGAATTGGAGGAAGATTCATCAACAACCTGCATTATGCAGATAACACAACTCTGCGTGTTGAAATTGAGGAGGACCTGAAGTGCTTGCTATAGATGGTCAAGGACTTCAGCCTTCAATATGGATTAAGCTCAATATCAAGAAAATAAAGATTCTCACCACTGGGCCAATTGGCAGCATCATTATGGATGGTGAAGAGATTGAGATTATTAATAGTTTTAGTTTACTGGATTCCACAATCAACACTCTTGGTACCAGCAGCCAGGAAATCAAGAGATGAATAGCTTTGGGAAAGTCAGCTGTCAGAGACCTCTCCAGAGTACTGAAGAGCATCAGCATCAGGCTGGAGACTATGCCTGATCTGGGCCGTAGTCCTTGCAATTGCATGCTATGCATCTGAGAGCTGGACAATGACTAGGGATAATTAAAAGAGAATTGATGCCTTTGAGCTATAGTGCTGGAGAAGAGTTTTGAATATACCATGGACTGCTAGGAGAACAAACAGGTTTGTTCTGGAGAGGGTGAAACCAGGCTGATTCTTAGAGGCAAGGATGCTGAAGCTTCATTTAACATACTTTGGGCATGTTGCATGGAGGGACTGGTCCTTGGAGAGAGACATCATGTTTGGGAGGGTGGAGGGACAGCACAGGAGAGGAAGGCCCTCGATGAGATGGATCGATTCAGTGATTGGGGTAATGGAAGTTGGTGTGTCAGAGACAATGAAGTTGGCACAGGATAGAGCAGAGTTTAGGGTCAGTATGAGTAGTAGATGACTTGATGGCACATAACAATAATAACAACATCTCAAAGAATGGGCAGACCAGTGAGCACATCCTTCTGGCTTGCACACTGGGTGTGAAGCAACTAATTGTTGGTGTTAACAAAATAGATTCTACCAAAACACTCTAACCAGAAAAGATACAAGGATATCATTAAGGAAGTCAGCACTTTATTCAAGAAAATCAGCTATAATTCTGACACAGTAGACTTTGTGACAATTTCTGGTTGGGATGGTAACAACATGATGGAGCCATGTTCTAATATGCCTTGGTTCAAGGGATGGAAAGTCACCGGAAGGATGGCAGTGCCAGTGGAACTACATTGCTTGAAGCTTTGGATTGAATCCTACCATCAACTCGTCCAACTGACAAGCCCCTGCATCTGCCTTTCCAGGATGTCTACAAGATTAGTGGTGTTGGTACTGTCCCTGTGGGCAGAGTAGAGACTGGTGTTCTCAAGCCTCGTGTGGTGGTCACATTTGTCCCAGTCAAATGTTACTACCGAAAGAGTCTGTTGAACTGTACCATGAAGCTTTGAGTGATGTTCTGCCTGGTGACAATGTTGGCTTCAACATTAAGAATGTCTCTGTGGAAGATGTTGGATGTGGCAATGTGGCTGGTGACAGCAAAAATGACCCACCAATAGAAGCAGCTGGCTTCACTGCTCAGGTGATAATCTTAGACCATCTGGGCCCTATCAGTGCTGGTTATGCACCTGTGCTGGGTCGTCATGCAGCTCACATTGCAAGTTTGTTGAGCTCAAAGAAAAGATTGACTGATGTTCTGGTGAGAAGCTGGCAGCTGGTCCCAAATCCTTGAAGTCTGATGATGTGTCAATATGATTCAGCATATCATAATCAAGCCCATGTTTGTGGAGAGCTTCTCTGAATACCCTCCTCTGGATCATTTTGCTGTCTGTGACATGAGACAGACTATTGCTGTGTGTGTCATTAAAACAGTGGACAAGAAGCCTCCTGGGGCTGGCAAGGTCACCAAGTCTGCTCAGAGAGATCAGAAGGCTAAACGAATATTATCCAGAAGGCTAAACGAATATTATCCATAACATCCACCATGCCAGTCTTAATTGGTGGTGGAAGAACAGTTTAAAAAGTGTTTGTTTCAATTGGCCATTTAGGTTTAATAGTAAAAAACTGACTAATGATAACAACACATTGTATAACCTTCAGAAGAATAGAATGTTTTGTAGACCTTTTTTTTTTTGTGTGTGTGGCAGTTTTAAGTTATTAGTTTTTTAAATCAGTGCTTTTTAAATGGAAACAACTTGACTAAAAATTTGTCACAATTTTGAGACTCATTAGAACAAGGGAGAGAGAGAGAGAGAGAATGAATTAGTAATCAAAAGTCAGTTACTTCTGACTCACGAAGTCCCCTAGTTTGTCAAAGTAGACTTGTGCTCTATTCAGTTTTCAGCAATAAAATTTTTCTGGAAGTGATTGCCAGGCTTTTCTGTCAAGGCTTACACTATATTTGATTAGCAGACGAGCAAGTTAAAAACTTGAACCAGCCAGTGAATCCTTTAGTAAAACTAAACCAAATGCTCTGCTATTGAGTCCATTCTGACTGATAATCACTCTGCAGGGCCGAGCAGTTGGTGTACCATCGAGTCAGAACCAATAGCGGGTTTTCAGAGACAGTAATAGCATGGGGGAGATGGCTGATCCTTCTCCTGCAGAACAGCTGGTGGAGTAGACTGACCTATATGTCTGGTTTCCTTGGCTGTGAGTCTTTGTGGGAATTGACTGCCTAATTCTTCTCCCTTGGAGCGATGGTGGAATCCAATAGCAGACCTTTGGTTAGCAGTCCAATGCTCAGGGCTCTTTTCCTTTACTAAAACAAGCAAACTCATTTTATCCCTGTTCTACCTGTAGCCCACTCTACATTCCACCTCATTACCTGGGCTCCCACATGCTTGTGGACCTATGAGACCTGCCCTCTCCAGGGGCCTTCCTTCAAGAACTCTCTGCTCCTTTCAGCTGCACATCACCTCTCCTTCAACATGGCACTCTCAGCTCCTCTCCTTAACCTTCCTCCACTGGAAAAAGATTCGCTGGTTGGTGCAAACTCTATAGGTCCTGTGACTGACTGCCTCTGAGGAGGATGAACTCTTCCATATTTCTGCACATAGCTTTCATGCTAGAAAAAGAGATGCTGTGGGCCCACATGTAACTGTAGTACAACACTGAAAAGGTCCCAAATACCTGGAGAAAGCTCCATGCTGAGGGAGAGATGATTTGCAGCAGTAGGAAAAAGGACAGAGTTCTTAAAGGAAGGCTTATGGAAATGGCTTGGAAAAAAGCTATGGGAAGTCTCCAAGGTCCAGGAGCAGTGAGAGCCCGGGTAATGGGGAGGAATATAGAGTGGGGTACAGAGAATAAAGATGAAATGGATTTGACTTAAGGTTGCGCTCCTTAAAAGGGGGCAGGGAAAAGCAATATTGGGGTCAAAAGAGGCAAGGAGTGAATTACCAGCATAAGCAATTTGATCCTGGTAACATCGCTACCATACTCAGAAAATGTTTCAGTAAAGATAAAATCAAATTGTGTACACTGCAGTATAATTTTTTAATGACTTGCATATAATTTCCATAACATTTACATGAAATGTTTGCTTTTTTTTTTAGGCAGAAGTTGATAGCATTGTGACTTTGCAGTCATTTAAAGATAAATGTGAACCTGTTTTTCTCTTTAGCCTTGTAAGTACAATGTTTAATCTCACCACTAAATTATCGGATTCCAGTTTATGGTAGAATGACAAGGAAGATTGCAAAACAGTCACAAAGCAACTTGCTGATAATACTAGCTGCACATTTCTTTGTCTTAGCGTAACTACTAATACATTTTATAACTTGACTTCCAAAAATTAATGGTGGAGGAAGGAAATATAGAATACTACCCATATGTTTGGTCAGGGAAAAGGAAAAGAAGAAGGCATCTGCCTATCCTAAAGAATTAATCAGGGAACTCTAGTGGCCTAGAGGGTAAGAAATTACCTTACTAACACAAAGCTATGTTGTTGTTGTTGTTGTTGTTTTGTGCCATTAAGTCAGAACCAACCCACAGCTGACCCCCCCAGCAGGTTTTCAGAGGCAGCTAATCACAAAAGAAATTGCCCATCCTTCTCCTGTAGAGCATCTGGTGTATTAGAACCGTGACCCTTCGAGATTGCAGCACCGCAGTTTCAATCTACCAACTGCTCTGAAGAAGAAATATGGGCAATTTCCTCCTGTGCAATTTACAGCCTCTGAAAAATCCACTGGAGGATCAGCTATGAGTCAGTTCCAACTCGACAACAATGAGGTGACTTTTCCATTTGAAGGAAATAATCAGATACTTGTAACATGACTTCTTTAAGGAAATAAAAATCTGTATAAAGAATTATTATTTTCAGGTGTGAACACATGGGTATTTTTTACTGTAAGATGTATTAGGAAAGAGTTAGTTATAAATGTTTATGCATACATATAGGAGCAAATATTCAACAACAGAAAAAATCATGTCAGTAAAGAATAGTTCATTATTCAATGCTTAGTGAAAAACAGTAATTCTCTCATTGCTCTCCAGTCAGAGTCAACTTACAGCTTGAAATGAAACTCCATTGGGTTTCTGGGGCTGTATATAAGGCAGGACACTGCCCATGTTTCACTGGTGGATACATAGCATAGAGGGGTGTGGCCTTTGGATTAACAGCATATACATGGACTAAGCCACTGTTTGTTAGTGTTAGGTGCCATCAAGTTCAGAATGACTTATAACAACTCTGTGAACAGATCTGAACCCCATCCTATCCTCTGTCAGCCTCATCTCTGACACATTAGAAAACATTGCTACAGTCACTCTGTCAATCTACTTGGTTGAAGTCTTCTTTGCTGTCTTTCTACTGTTCCCAGCATGATGTTACTCTCCACTGAATAGCCACGCCTACCGAGCAACATGCCCAAAGTATGTGAAACAAAGTTTTATCTTCTTTGCCTCTAAGGAGCTCTCTGGCTGCACCTTCTCCAAGACATATCTGTTAGTTCTTTTGGAGGCCCCATGAGACAGTCAATACTTTTCTTCAACACCACAGTTTAAAGGCATCAATTCTTCTTACGTCTTTCTTATTCATTGTTCAGATCTTAGATGCATAGCAAGTGATTGAAAAGACCATGGCATGAATCATGCTAATTAAAGCTCCCCAAAAGGCAGGCTGCAAAGAGTTTTTGTAGTATGATCACAATTTCAGAGCATCTGTTGATTTTACCAAGTGATTAGAAAAAAGAAAGTATATTCACCAAAATATCAATTGTGGCTTACTCTCTATGTTGGCATGCTTAAACCCTTGGCTACTAAAAGAATGGAGATTTGAATTCACCTAGAGGCTCTTTGGAATAAATGTCTAGTGATCTGCTACCACAAAGTCACATTGTAAGGGGGGAGGAGGGAGCTCTGGTGGCCTAAGGACTTGCACTGTTAACCCCAAAGCCCAACTTCTATGGCAATTCAAATCCGCCAACAGCTCTGCAGAAGAAAGATAGCCAATCTCCTCTCATGCAATTTACAACCTTGAAACACACAGGGTCAGCTATGGATTGATAACTCACTCAATGATAATGTATTGATTTAATAGTATAATTGCTAATTGTATAACTATACATTATTGTTGCTCCAAATTTATACAGCTGTTATCATAACATACAGTTTCACCAAGAAGTTAAGCCTTTGTTTGTTCTACTGTTAGCTACTTGAATGACTTGTTACTTTTTCAATATAGAGTATAATAATTTTTTTAGAATATAATAATTTTTAAAAATTCCTTGAGATAAATTTTGTTTCAGTGAATTAAATGAATACCACTATTTCAATGAATTAAATCTCTAAGTCAACTCAATATAACGATTTGTACTACAAGTCTTTCTTTAAGTTAGATATGTTGAATTTGACAGTATAGATTAGCATGATAAATCATAAAACTTCTTTAAAGAGGGCCAGATAAGAAATATGTTAGACCTTACAGTAAAAGAGTCTCTGTCATGTGCTACTTTTTTATTTTTTTTGTATCAACCTTTTAAAAGTGCAAGATGTCATCCTTAGCGTTGGACTATGCCAAAACAGACTGCAGATCCAATTAAGCACTTAGGCCCTACTTTCTGGACTTCTAGTCTATGTCTAAGTGAGCCCTTATGGTGCAGTGACTGAAGAGATCTGCTAACTAAAATATTGGCAAATCAAAACATCAACTGCTTTGAGGAGAAAGATGAGAAATCTCCTCCTATGCTATTTACAGCCTCTGAAAACTCACTAGAGAGTATGTTGTTGTTGTTGTAATGTGCCATCCAGTGGCTTGCGACTCATAGCGACCCTATGTACATCATCTCTAAACTCTGCTCTGTCCTGTGCCAGTCGCACCCATCCCGATTACCCCAGTCACTGAATCAATCCACCTCATAGGGGGCCTTCCCCTTCTGCACTGTCCCTCCACCCTAACAAGCATGGTGTCCCTCTCCAAGGACCTGTCCCTCCTTGCAACATGTCCAAAGTATGTTAGACGGAGCCTTAGAATCCTTGCCTCCAAGGAGCAGCCCAGTTTGACCCTTTTCCAGGATGAATCTGTTTGTTTTCCTAGCAGTCCATGGTACCCTCAATACTCTTCTCCAGCACCCCAGCTCAAAGGTATCAATTCTCCTTCTGTCCTCCTTAGTCATTGTCCAACTCTCTGATGCATAACAAGTGATAGCAAAGACCATCGCCTGTATCAGATGCACCTTAGTCTCCAAAGAGACACCATTGCTCTTCGGTACTTTGGAGAGGTCCCTAACAGCAGACTTTCCCATGGTAATATGTCTTTTAATTTCCTGGCTGCTGGTGCCGAGAGTGTTGACTGTGGAGCCAAGCAAAGTGAAGCTGTGAACAATCTTAATCTCTTCACCATCCATCCTGATGCTGCCAATTGGCCCAGTGGTGAGAATCTTTGTCTTCTTGACATTGAGCCTCAATTCATAACAACAACAACATGTATAATGGGTTAGTGAACCAGAATATGTAAGTCTCCAGAAGTAGAATTAAGCTTGGGAAAAGCATGAGAACTTGATGAAGCAATTAAAGAAGTTTAGTGCCATTTGAACAATAGTGAACCGTAACAAAGGAAGAAATTCAACCTTCAATGAAAGTATTGGCAAAAAAACCCCAAGGCCCCATGATTCTATGGGATATCTATTGACATGTTTCAACTAGAGATGCAGCCCTGGATATGCTCACCAATTTATGCCGGAAAATTTGGAGGACAGTTTCTTGGCCAACTGACAGAAAGAGATCCATATTTGTTCCCATTACCCCAAAAAGTGGCTAACAAAATATGGAAACTATCAAATAATATAATTAATATTAAACACAAGCAAAATATTGCCGCAGATCATCCCCAGACAGCTAGAAGAACATATTGAGAAAGAATGGCCAGACATTCAAGCTGGGTTTAGAAGAAGCAGTGATACAGGGTGTCATTACTGATGTCACAATGATCTTGGCTAAAAGCAAAAAATACCAAGTGAATATCTATTTGTGTTTTATCGACTATAAAAAGGCATATTACTATTTGTGTTGTGACAAATGGTGGCTAACACTGATAAGAATGCTGTGGTGTTAATGGTTTATTGTTCAGAGGTCTTCCTAGCAATTGAGTTTGAGTTTGTCATGTGCATGGGTGGGTTATGTGACTAGGGGTTTTTAGGCTTTCCACAAGGAGATTAACTCACTTCATGACTAAATTGAGCAGATTCAGCATTAGATTTTGAGAATTCCACAACATGTGAAAATTCAGAAGCAAGCTGCAGTAAACATCTTTTGGGGCCAGAGATTTCTTGTACCAACTAGACCTACTGCACCAACAGCTTTGGCTAAAGCAGAGAACAAGAGACCTGACATGAGATGGAGGTAACTTTGAGACTGCTGTACTATGAAATCAGAGCTAAAAGCCTTTGTTTAAGTTTGTTGAAAGACTAAAGATGGGGTGGGGAGAGTCATAATTGGCAGGACTAAGGGCTTCGTAACACTTGCTTAAAGTCATGAGGTGGAAGGCTGAGGTGCTAGTGAACACATTCTGGAAGTTGTCCTGGCTGAGTGATTTTATCTTTTTGTCAACCTTATTTATAGCCTTTTGGCTTTGTTAATATGGTTCTGTGTGGTCTGTTAGTCATAACAATAGATTTCAGAACCAATACAGCAGTAAGATTGGTGTTGGGATGTGTAGAAACGGGTGCAGGAGCTTGGGGGAATGTGTTTGACCTCATGGGAATTTGTTTTGAGTTGTTGATACTGACAGGGACAGTTATCCTTTGTAGAATTGGTGAAAATCACTTGCGTCCATCTTCACATGGTTTTTGCTCATTTTACAAATAGGAATCTCAGAACACTTAATTATGCTCATACAAAACCCAGACCAAGACCTTGCTCAACTGAGACCAAGAAGAAGCTGTTGTCTGAAGGGAGCAGGAAAAAAAAATCAGGAAAAGTGTGTGTCAGGATGGTATCCTTTCTCCATCCATATTTAATATATACATGTCAAGCAAATCATTTGAGAAGCTAGACTTTGTGAAGAAGAATGTGGTGTCTAAATTAGATGCAAATGGCACAACCCTGCTTGCTGAAGTAAGGACTAGAAACACTGCAGAAGATCAAACACTACACAGCCTTTAATATAGATTGCATCTCAACATCAAGAAGATGAAAATCCTCACTACTAGGACCAATAACATGACAAATAGACAAAAGATTGAAATTATCAATGATTTAATCTTATTTGGATCTACAATCAACATTCTTGCTATGAGAGTCAGGAGAGATCAAGAGACATATTGCATTGGGAAATCCTGCCATCAGGGCCTCTCCAAAGTATTGAGGAGCAGTGATGTCAGTTTGAAAATGAAGGCATACTTGATTCAGGTCATAGGGTTTACTATCACTTGCTTGCATCTGAGAACTGGATGACAGAAGAATTGAAGCCTTTGATACTTACCTGGCAGGGGAGATGCAATGACAGTTTTCCCAGGGTGAGGCTTATCCATTGCATTCCAAATGTGGGAAGCTCAACTGCATGATATGTGGTAGTGCAGGAGTGTGTTCATGCTTTCCCCTGGGGGACAAAAGAATTGAAGCCTTTGAGCTGTGGTGATGGAGAAGGGTATTGAATAACCAAAAGAACAAACAGATATGTACTGAAAAAAGCACAACCAACATGCTTTTTTGAGGCAAGGATAATGAAGCTTCAGCTCACATACTTTGGTATGTTGCCAGGAGAAGCTATTCCTTGGAGAGGGACATGATGCTTCGAAAGATGGAGGACTAGTGAAAGAGAGGAAGACCATCAATGAGATAGATTGATATAGTTACCACAGCAATGGCTCAAGTGTATCAGAGATGATGAGGTGGGCACAAAGTAGGACAGGGTTCAGATCTGTTTTTCATAGGATTTTTATGACTTTTATTAAACCCAAGGGATCCAAACAACAAGAAAAACAGCAGCAGCTAGGAAATGGAATCAAGGGTCTAGGGAAGATAGATCAAGCATGTGGAGACTGATGCCCTGGGATAGTCCTCATCCCAAAAATTAGTCAGACTTCTGCCTGTGCTATTTATATGGACCACTCAAGAAAAGTTATCTTATTGCTCCAATTATCGTAAAACAAATGCAAGCCTCAATCTTACCCCAGCTATATACCATCTATCCTTCGGTATTTTCTTGTCCCAGTCCTGTTCTTCATTCATCCCCTTCTACAAAATCCTATACCAATGTGATATCTGGAATTAACAGATGTAGTCATCAAACTTTCCAAGATCTTTAGTCAAATCTCCTACATGCATCTATTTTCCAGCACCATTACAACTACTATAGACCAAGTCACAATTGTCTTTTACTCATTTCTATGGTAGCTTCTAACTGGTGCACAAATGCCATATCTTACCCCACTCTAATCTTTTCTCAGCACTGTAGGTGAAGTGATCTTTTTTTTTTTTTCATTGTGGCAAAAGCATCTTTGGGTGTGAGGGAGGTGAAGTGATCTTAATGAACAAAAATTACACTGCTGTTTAAACATTCTAAAAGTTTCTGACTACACTTAGGATGAAGACTGCAACCTTTTATGTCTCATGTATCCCTTCACATTTATCTACCTGTGAGGGAATGATCATCCCAAGTCTCCCCTAACCATCTCTGCTGGCCTTCTCAGTTGCTATATTCTCTTCCAAAGCACAACCTTTGCATCTGCTGATTTGTGTTTACATCTGAATATTTTTCCTTTTCACTTACTTCATATATTAATCCAAGAATTCCTTCCTGATAGTTAAGTTTTGTCCCTTGACTTCATTCTTGGCCTCTTTCACAGTCAAATTCTTACAGGTTCTCCCAAAGTTTTGTCTCTCTCATGATGACATTTATCTTGGTTACTATTCATATGCTTGTGTTGTTTTGTCAATTAGTTTGGTTGGGTCCATAACGTCCTTCCTGGAACAATGTACTTGGTGTTCAGTAAATACATGTTGAAAGATAGGTGAAAGGAGCATGGTACCAAAAATAACTAAAAAGTAAATATTGGGAAGCTAACCGAGAATTGTTCAAATCTAATGAAAGAATGCCCTGGGAGAGATTGTTATCAGTGTTCTGTAGGGTGAGATTCTGGAGCACACTGCCTTAGTTATGATTACAGAAGATCAAACAAATTGAAGGTAGAATTAAAGAACTGGGATGATGAAATGGTGATATTTTCTTCCTGTTCATTGGCACTGAGTAAATTCTGATAACTGAACAGAGTAGAATGCTTTCTCAGGTTTTTCAAGGCTTTGACTTTTTAAAAATTTTTTAAATTTTTAAAAATTTTTTAAAAATTTTATTATTATTTTGTGTGTGTGTACCATCAAATAGGATCTGACTGGTACAGGAGGAGATTGTCCCTTCTTCTCCAGCAGAGCATCTGATGGATTCAAACCGCGTGCCTCTGGGATTGCAGTGCAACTCCTTGCCACTAGACCACCAGAGCTCCCTAAGGCTTTGACTTTTAAGGAGTAGATTACCATGTCTATCTTCTACTGGTGTGTTGGAGCCACTAAATCTTGGCTAGTTGTTGTTACTGTGTACCATCAGTTAGACCCAAGTCATAGCTGACCTTCCAGTGGGTTTTCAGAGGCAGTAAATGCACAGGAGGAGATTGCTCATCCTCCTCCTATGGAGGAGCCGGTGCATATACAAACAGTGTGCCTTTGGCATTGCAGTGAAGCATCTTTCTGCTAGGCCATAAGAGCCTGTTGTAGTGTTTAACTGTATCATCCACAAATGGATAAATGATGATGGACAATGGGGCAATGAGACATGACTGTAACAGTTTCATGGGTTAATTCTTTACTTATTTTATTTTCTCTTCTAGAATGGAAAAATTATTTCCATGATTAAGGGTGCAAATGCACCACTTGTAAATGCAAAAGTTACCCAGCTTATTAATGAGGAAAGGAAAGTTTTAGCAGGTGAAATTGTTCGCCCTGAGGTAATACTTTCAACTATGGATTATTTTAACTTTTAAAATGTGTTATTTTATCCATTTTCTCTAAAGTATTTTTTTCTCCTAATTTTAGATCTACAAGATGTCCAAATGCAGCATTTATGTGAAACATTTTTGGCAATATGAATCAAAAATCTTAAAATATATGTATATCCTTTTGCTCTAAAAGGGAACCAATAATCTGCCCTAAGGAAACAATAACACAAATAAAGAATAGTGTTGTCTGTATTGTTAAATATTTTGAGGCAGCCTAATTACTTACGGCATTGAATCAATTACTTAAATTCAATGTAATTATGCCAATAATTATACAATCCTACACATAGGATATGGTCTAGTGTCTTATAATTTTTTACTTATAAACATGGAAAGGGAGCAAGGGCAGACTGATGAATAGTGAAAGAAGCATATGTTAAAAAGGTCAAGAATCTGTATTTGCTGCAAGAGAAAAAAAATGTGTCAAATTAAGAAAGGATGAAAAGTCAGTAAGTCAAGGTTATAAACTACTTGTGGAGGAAAATACATAGGTTTCTCATATTATGTGCATTAAAATGCTAGAGAAATTGAAGAGTTAAGTATAAAGAAACAAGTGTTTAAAGAAAACACTGGTGAACATTTACATTGTCATAGGTTGAGGAAAATTTTCTTAAATATATTACAGAATAGAAATAACTATAAGAAAGCGTTGATAGATATGATTATTTAAAACTTTTGCAGGCACTCTAAAAGTAAAAAGAAACTGAGAAAAACAGTTAAATTTTATGTGTTAATGTACTAATAAACGTCATACATACACAATACTGCTGTCAAGTCATTCTCAACACATACCCACCCTTTATACTTACTTCAAACTAACCATGTTTTAAGAGCTCAAGTAATGTTTTCTGGTCACTGACTCCCCTGTTGGTCAGCACAGACAAATAGAAAAATGAAAAGTCAAGTTAACATGTGGTTATTATACTTGATACAGTGTCCTATAGTGATTAATGATTTCAAACGTCTTTTGGGGGATCAGTCGTTTTCTTTCCTTGAGAATCTGAATTTATGCATTCTAACCTAAAAGAGTAGGTTAAGTAGTTCACAGAATCAAGGCTGTACATCAGGGCTTCCTTGGAAGTTAAGAACCTCTGTGCTCTGTAGATTTACGGCATAGTGTAGGATATCTGCTCCAGATTTGGAAAAAAAGATTTGTATAAATCAAGGAGAGATATCTTTTGTTTTTAAGTGGTGAGCATTACTATCAAGACTAGATCATCACATCTAGCAAATACCCTTTTCAAACTTAATAATCACAGCCTCAAATACCAAACCAAGTGCAATCAAATCAACTCCAACTCATGGTGATTCATATCCATCAAAGTAGGACTATGCTCCTATGGTCATCAATGGCCGATATTGAAAATAGTTTGAAAATAAGTAATTCTGAAAGTCAATAATTTCAAGGCCTTCCTCTGAATGCAGGTAGTTACTATTTTCTTATCTGCCATTCTTGGTGTTTAAACATCTTATTCTTTGTGAACCTCTTCATTTTAAAACTTACCTTTTTTTATCAGTTCTCCTTTTAGCACAAATTTATTATTTCTGATAGCTTCTTTCTTCCACTTTTAAACAGTTCTTTTCTTTAAATGCAAAGCTGAGGAAAAATTAAAATAATGTTGCTAGGTGCTATCTAGTATGTTGTGTCTCTTAGCGACTGTCTGTGCAACAGAAGAAAACCCTGCCCAATCCTGTCACCCTCTCAATCTCTGCTGTGCCCTGTATTGCAGTCACTGTGTCAACCTTTCCCTCATACTGAATGCTGACATATTTCCACTTTTCCTTCCAGCTCCTAGGCTAGAACAAAATTTCTAAACATTTTTTCCAGCATCATATTAAAACATTGCTGTATTTTGTTTGTGTTCTCTTCCCTAGTATGAAGAAATTATATTTGTAGAATCAGATACAGAAGATACTGAAGATGAACATAAAGAAAATCCTGGTAATCAATTTACTTTAAAATAATGGTGATAATGTTCTGTAGCTGAATATTTGCTACCACAATTTTTGAAGGAGCAAAATTATCAATATCAATGTTTGTCAGTAGGGAAGTGGTCAGATAAATTATAATCACTTGAGACTCAAGACTAAAATGAACAATCCTTCATTATCTTCTAAGCATGTATCATAATAATTTATTTGATGATAATCCAATCTAATGTTTATTCTGAAGCTCACAATTGTGTACCTTCACTATAATTCTGTGTGTGTGAGTCTGTGTATTCTATGGAATGAGGTAAACAAAGTAGGCATGCTCAGTAAGTATCTTGATCTAAAAAAAATATCATCATGGAATGTTGGTGAATCTGTCCATGGTTTGGGCATTAGTTTGTAATCTTTTCTTATATAATGAAGAGTAAAATTTCCACTCATAGACATAATCAACTGGCTAGATCATGGATAAGAATCAATCTACTGCTTTGAATTAAAATTAGAATGAAACCTCACCAATGTAAACTTATTTGTCCATAAAACATCGTGTGAATTCTTGGTTTGTAAGCAAATATAGGGATTTCACTTTTGTTCTAAATAGAATTTTTCTAGCTGTTGAAATATTGTAATTAGATACAAACTTACCAATAGACAAAAATTATGGGATGTTAGAGATTTACAATTCTATTAGCAATGCGTTTTCCAGATTGTTTGAAAAAAAATAATAATTATTGTACTTTTTCTCCTAGAGGAAGAATACAGTTTTGTTATTATTAGACCAAATTCCATGATTAGTACAAAAGCTAGAGAAATTAAAGAAAAAGTAAGTATTCTGGTAGAGAAATATTAGAAATTAATTGAAAATTCCATTTGTTGTTGATTCAGTTTTGGTTTATGCCAAACTCATGTGTATCAGAGAACAGCTGTTTGATTTTTCAGTAGTAGGTCACCAAGTCTTTCTGAGATGGACTCAAACTGCCAACCTTTCAGCAAATAATCATTTATACCATAAAGAGACCCTCAATCATCAAGTTGGAGATATGTTTATAACTTAAGGTAGTATAGAACATAATGAACATAATTATGCTAAGTAATGTGAGAGATTTTGAATGTTTTCCATCTGTACCAGAGGGAGCTGTGATGGCTTAAGAAGTTGCACTGTTAACCCAAAAGACTGGTTCTAATCCACCAGCTAGCTGCTTCATGGGAGCAAGAGGAGTAACCACATCATGGGTGATTTACTGTCTATGAACAACCTCTGGAGGGTCATTGATGAGTCAGCTCTGACACCAAAGAACAAAACCACAACTCTCTGTACCAAAGACTCAAATTCATCTGTTTATCTTTTTTTTATATAGCCTTACTCTACCAGCATTTTACCTATAAATTGTAAAAGTTATATTTCATATGTTGGGTTGCATTGTCTTTTCTTCAAGTTTGATTGTTAACAATGCAATATTATTATTAACTCACATTAGCTTGCTTTTTCTTCTTTGTGTTTGTGTATGGTCTTTGTATATACATGATAGTTTGTATATACATGATAGTTTGTATATACATGGTAGTTTAAGCAAGCACCTAATGTCTTACCTTTGATTAAAAAAAAAAACCCAACAATAATTTTTCCTGTTTTAAGAAAAAGAGAGAATACTAAAAGCAGCTAGAGAAAAACAAAGAGTTATCTACAAAGGACAATTAGTTAGATTAACTTTTCAGCAGGAATCAAGCAAGCTAGTAAATAATGGAATGGCATGTACAAAAGGCTGAAAGAAAACAATTGTCATCTGAAAATTCTATATTCAGTGAAATTGTTCATCAGATAAGCATCTGAGAAAGTCACTGCTGGAAAGATCTGCAAGCTGTCACCACAAAGAGACCAGAAATAGCTGCAGAAGTCTCCACTGAAGCTGCCATCACCCAGGAAGCCACTGCTGCCAAGGACACCACTGCTGATATTGTGAACTTCAATAGCTTCAATAGTCCTGTGGAGGAGTAGACTTGTCACTGCTGGGTTTCAACCACACAGAATGAGGGATCCCATCCCCCTGCTGCCCATGAGATGACCAGTTGAAAAGATTACCATTGGAAAGTGTGGAGCGAGTAGAAAATTTGGTAACTCATCTCTGATTCACTATGTATGTGATAGCTTTGCACATCGCCTAAGTGTAGGCAAAATAGATCATTCAAAACACACTTGATATCCCAGAGAATTTCTGACCTGAAGACTCAGGAATTTAGAAATTCACTGATCCAACAAGTCTGCTGGTTGCTTAGAGACTCAAAAACTGCTTCTAGTAAGAGGTAATATAAGGCACACAACACATTGGTACCTCCAGCAGACTTGGCCCTGCACCACTCTAATCAAGGGTCCCATGATGTACCAGGCTATTGTGTCTACATATCTCAACAGAGCAAGATTCACCACAAACTCCACCAAACAGCATAGACCTCAAATGCCACCTACTATCACCCTCTCAACCAAAGACATAGCACAGAAAGTGAATAGGTTATTGCTCCATCAGGCATCGAACACATAGACAAGAAAAGAGGAGACTAAAAAAAAAACAAAAAACCAGAAAACAAAAAACAGAAATCCTATAATGCCATGTAAGCAAAACATAACTTCTATTCTTTTCTTAAAATTATTTTATTAATTCTAATGAAAATTTATAGAGGCTTTGAATTTCCATTCATTCATTGTTGCACTTTTCTCCCTGCCCACCTGCTCCTCAAGTACACTCTTACCTTTGAAAAGCAAAAGAAAAATTCTTTCATTGTTTTAAAATCCCACCCACCAGGTCCACCCCACTATGCAGTCTTCATTCTCGACTCCTGTCATGACAAAAATACCTAATCACATATACCTTTAAAACAGTTTTCTCCCTCATCTGTTTCAATGCAGTATACATTATTGAACCCATCTTTCTCAGTCTCCCCCCAACCCCAATGTCAGTCGTTACAACAGTGACACTATGCAATATTTGTCCTTTTGTGACTAAGATATTTCACTAGGCATAATATCCTCCATGGTCACCCATTTTGAATAATAGTGCATGAGTTCTTTGTTTTTCAAAGTAGTGTAGTATTCCATTGTGTGAATATACCATAGCTTCTCTATCCATTCTTTTGTTGATGGACACTTAGGTTGTTTCCTACTCCTTGCTATTGTGAACAAAGCTGTGATAAACATGGGTGTGCATATATCTGCTTGGGTGGCAGTTATGGTCTCTTTGGGGTTTATTCCCAGTAGTGGAATTGCTGGGTCAAATGGTAACTATTTGCAACTTTTTGAGAAAGCACCACACTACCTTCCATAGTGGTTGGACCATTTTACACTTCCACCAACAGTGAATAAGGGTTTCAGTTTCTCCACAACCTCATCAGCATTTGTTACTTGCTGTTCTCTTAAATTTGCTATTCTTACTGGGGT